GGTGGAGTCTTCTCTCCATCAAAGGGGCGTTTTCCTGCTGCTTCAATCCTGGCATTTATCCTGGATGTTGAGAGACGCTGAAAGGTGCTATGTTTTTTTCAGAGCAGCAGGGCAGCTATTTGCTTTCTGAGCATTTACAAAGTGCCAGGAGCTGTGCCAGGCATGCTATGTAAATCATCCCACGTGATCCCCACAGTCATGCTGAAGCTGAATAACTTGCCCAAGATCACTGCATGGAAGAGGCAAGGCAGGAATCCAAAAAGTACTTTTACCTAAAGGACACAGGCAAGCATAGGAAAGAAATGGCTGCGGTTTCTTCATCAGCCATTTGCATAACCAGTGGCACTGACCAAGTGCCTTTCTCAGCAGAGCCTGGACTAGTAGTGGCACCCTGAGGACAAGCAGGGAGTTGGGTGGCAGGTCTTCCAGGTGATGTGAGGAAGTGGTGCACACAAATTTGTTCAGCTGATGTATGTCGGTTCATTCCCTGAGCACCTACTATGCACCAGGCCAGTGCTGATGTTGCAAGACGCTCCTAGGATTTGCAGTCTAGTTGGGGGTGGGGCAGACAATAAACAAGTAAATTGGTAGGGCAATACTTTCAGATATTGGTAAGTGCTATGAAGAAATTAAAATAGGACAGTACAACTAACTTGAAAACAGTTTGGCAATTTCTTAAAAAGCCAAATACAGGGTATGACAAGTAAGTTTGCGAACTCATCCTAGAAAAAGTGCTACATAACTCATTGCTGAATAGCACTACGGTCACCTTCGAAGCACTACCCTTGAGAAGCTATGCACCGACACCAGTGCCTAGTCCACCCTTCAAAGCAATTTTGGAACTCTTTTTCTGGAATGGCCATCAGAGCTGTTGTCAAATTACCCTTGATGTCCTGAATGTCATCAAAATGTCTTCCTTTCAATATTTCCTTTATCTTCAAGTAAAGAAAGATGTCATTGGGGGCCAGATCAGGTGAGTAGGGAGGGTGTTTCAATACAGTGATTTGTTTACGGGCTAAAAACTCCCTCACAGGCAGTGCCGTGTGAGCTGGTGCATTGTCATGATGCAAGAGCCATGAATTATTCGCGAGAAGTTCAGGTCGTCTAACTTTTTCACGCAGCCTTTTCAGCACTTCCAAATAATAAACTTGGTTAACTGTCCGGATGGTACAAATTCATAACAAATAATCCCTCTGATATTAAAAAAGGTTAGCAACATTGTTGCAACAAGTTCACTAACTTAATTGTAACATTGCATATACACCCACCATATATGATCCAGCCATTCCACTCCTGGATATTTACCAAGTAGGTATTCAATAACTATTCCATGAATGAATGAATGAATGATCAAACAAATCTATTCTGCATGTCAGTTTGTTGAAGGTACAAAGATGAAACTTGGCTGAGACCGACAAGATTGGTGAGGGCCATGAAAAATTTAAACTTGACTTACAAAAGTATGACCCCAAAGCCTTGTGGAATATGCTTTGTGGGGGTCCCTTTGTGGGGGTTCCATAGTTGCCACTGGGTCATGGCAGGAACTCTGGCTCCTTTGAGAATAATTTCATTTTCCTTTGTTTCTGTGGGTTCCCTCCTCACCCCAGCCAGCTGGGTCTGTCCCCACTTCCCCATTCCTCTGGTCAGCTGGTCCGGATGAATCCAGTGGGTGAGCTGCAGGACCATTCCACAGACCCAGCCTGTGCTTCATCTGGCTCCAATCTGGCTCCCCCTCCTTGCCTCCATCCCTTGCATCTCAGCCTGGGCAGTATTTCCCTGTGAGGTGGACAGTGGAGCTGAGCGGCTGAATGGCAAGGGCCCCAGACCTCCTTGGTCCCCAGCCCAGTTTTGTACTAAGTAGTGATGTGCCTTTGGGCAAACCTCTTAACTCCACTTAAGCTCAATCACCTTACTCTGGATAAGAACAGTACTTACAGCATGGGGCTGCTGTAAGCATTTACTATGAGCACTTTTCACACTGTCTGCCACAAAGTAAGTACTTAATAAATGTCAGCTCTATCCCGGGAGTTGTTTGTTTTGCATTTTCTCTTTACAAGGGAATCAAGGTCTTATTACACACGAAGAGGCTTGGATTAAACACTTCTAAGATCTGGCTGGGGTGGATGGCGACTATTTCTCGGAAAGAAATTGATAAATAGTAATCTAATAACCATGTTATCCTACCCACCACTTATTGAGGAATTACTTTTCTAGGTACTCTACTGATAACAATAATGAACGGTTAATTAATAGTTAATCATAAAAATATAGCCAATCCTGACTCAGTACTTCCTGTCTGCCAGGCACTGTTCTAAATGTTTTTCATGTATTAACAAATCCTAACGACCCTTTGGGGAAGATACTGTTATTATCCTCATTTTACACATGAGGAAACTGAAGCACAGAGAGGCGAAGTGACTTACCCAAGTTCAACCAGGAAGTGGACAAAGGACTCACACGCTGTTGCTCTGTTCTAGGGCTGCTCCCCTGTGCTCTAAATCCCCCCAGTATCAAGCTAGATGAGCTGTACCCATTGGACTGGTCTCTAAAGATCACGAGCTCTCAGTTACAATGGCAGATGCTGTGTTGCTCTGCCCCTGGGCTGGAGGGCTGTGTCCCCAAGTGGGGCATTAAGTTAGGTCAGTGGGCCCTGAAGCCCTGCACAAGTACCCATGCCCAGCCAGAAAAATCTTTCCTTTGTGTCTGGGGAGAGTATGTGGGGGGGTTTTTTTGTTTGTTTAAAGATTTTATTGGGGAATCGGGGGAAGGGGAACAGACAAGTTTCTGTTGTTTTGTTCTTCATTCTAGTTGTGGAGGATGTTGCTTCACGGGCCCAAGTTGGCACCATCATTGCGCTCTTCCCAGGCGAGGCAGATCAGTCGCCGGCTTCTGGACGGCCGCTCACTGCGGCTGCTGGCCACTCACGCTGGCTGCTGGCTACACACGGTAGCCCATGGCAACCCACTGCAGCAGGGGACTACAGCCCACGCCTTCGCCGGCGACCCACAGCAGCCCAGCTCCAGGTTGAGCTGTTGTTCAGCATCTTAGCTGTAGAGGGCAGTGTCACTGGCCCTCATATGTGGGATCCGAACTGGGGCCCTCTGGCATCCCAAGCCAGTTCTTAACCAACGCGCCACTCAGCCGGCGGAGAGTATGTGTTTTGATATGATCTCAGGACCCACCCAGGCAGTTTCACAGATTCCCACATGTTCTCTCCCCTCCTGGAAATAAGAACAAGTTGTCAGACGGACCCCAGGGGACCCTCACTCCCGGTGGCTCTAAATGAAAGCTTGTGTTCTCTAAACAAAGTTTTCTCTGGTCATGGGTGAAGGATGGGGTGGAGAGGAGGATGGAGGTAGTGGGAATTTACCGGTATATTCCTGTTTGGGGGTGGTCAACAGCCTTTGAGATGGCAGGTGAGACAGCCCTTTCTTCCCTCAATTTCTTGCATTCATGGTTAAGAGGCAAACAGGTGTCTTTTTTTTTTAAATACCTGATAAGTTTTATTTTGAAATATTGCACCTACTTATTTTATTAGGCTGCACATGTGTATTCTACACACGTAATCTTTTTTTTTTTTAAGATTTTATTGGGGAATTGGGGGAGAGAACAGTGCTGGGGTATTGGGGAGGGAAACAGACAAATTGCTGTCCCCCTGCTTCTCAGTCCAGCCGTGGAGGACGTCGCCCCACTGGCCCATGTTGGTATTGTGATCATTGCGCTCTTCCCAGCTCAGGCAGATCGGTCACCGGCCATCGGGCGGCCTCTCACAGCAGCTCACGCCAGCTGCCAGCCATGCATGGTAGCTTACGCAGCCCACTGCAGCCCATGTCGTCGCAGGCAACCCACGGCAGCCCAGCTCCAGGTGGAGCCGCTGTTCACCATCTCAACTGCGGAGGGATCCACCTCCCCATGTGGGATCCAAACCGGCAGCCCTGCTGCCCAGAGCCCGCGCTCCCAAGCGAACTCCCAACCAACGAGCCACTGGGCCGGCCCACAAACAGGTGTCTTGATAGACTCTTTCTTTACTAGTCTGCTTTCTTCTGGAGACAGATGTGTCCTATAGGTTGTCTGCTCGTCGTCCAGCTGGCTTTTTCTACAGCTTTTAGTATGTTCACTCAAGTGGCCCCTTGGGTACTGAGAATAGCAATATTTTATATGTGCTGCCCATTTAGCAAGCGCCAGGCACTTGTTCTAGGCACTTCTCCTTGACAAAAACTCTCTCCTTGACTAAACTTTAGTTAGGCTCATCTGAGCCTTCTCCTCCCTGTTCTTGCTGGGCCTGCATAGCCCAGTTTGAGCAAGAATGCCTCTGCCCTTGATGTCTGATCACCCTAGGTATCTGATCAAGTTCCTCTCTCCGCCCCCGCTTTTTTGATGTTTAAGTCCTTGGCCTGCTTTTAGCAAAGATCCTGTTAGGTCAGTTTAGCAAGAATTCCCCTACCTTTGGTGTGTCCTCTTAGCAATTTTCCATCCACTGGGCCCCTCACTCTGCTGCTTGGCTATAAAACCCCACTTGTTCTTGAATGTTCATAGTTAAGCTTGATTTCGCTCCCCTCTTGCAATATCCCTGATGCAATAGTCTTGGATAAAGCCTTCCTTACCATTTTAACAAATGTCAGAATACATTTTTAGCAACATTATTTCGTTCATTTATCCTCACCAGGGCCCTACGAGATAGGTACTGTAAATGTCTCCACTTTACCACTGGGAAAGTAGGGAGGGGAGAGGATGCCCTACAGGATGAGATGCCAGCTGGTGCCACCTTCTCAGTTTGCACCTGGACATACTCCCAAGTTCTCCCGGCTGCAGGTGGTCCCATCGGTTCACCTGTTGGGGTATTAACCAGGCAAGATATTGCTCCCTTTGCGGCAAAAAATGCCGATGTTCTCCAGCCGCCCCGGGGAACTCCCCGAGCAATGAGTGGACGGAGAGGGGCGAAAGAGGGAAGCGCGGGCAGCCGGCCGCGGTCTCCTAGCAAACGGGCAGCGGTCACGTGGCCCGACTCACGTGGCCCGGAGCTCAGCGGGGGTTGGAGCCCAGGTAGCGGGGCTGGGTGAGGCCGCTAAGTTTGCTTCCTGCGTTCCAAGACCAAGAGCCCCCGCGACTGTCGCACAGGTGCCCTCCGCCTAGGTCGGGATGGAGCTGCCAGCCGTGAACCTGAAGGTGGCCACGCGCGGGGCGGGGCGGGGCGGGGCTCCTGGAGTGTGGGGGCCGGTTACGCTTTCAAAGTAGGAGTTGAGAGGGGAGAGGGCCGGGAGTTGGGGACAGAGGAGGGGGAAGGAGAGAGAAAACGTACAGACCCCAGGTGAGAAGGGGGCGGGCAGACAAACCAAGGCAGGGAGAGGGATCCCGGAGGGAAGGCCGAGGGAACTGGAGGCGGCAGGGAGGGAAGCCCTCTCCTGGAGTCAGCCCCCTCCGACTGGGACCATCCGGCCCCGGAGGATCGCTTTGCCCTCCGCGACCAGAAGTCCCCTGGAGGAAGAGGAAGGTGCGGGGGATGGGCTAACTCAGACCCGGAGCGGGGCTTGGAGGCGGGACACCTCCCCTCCACCTGGAGGGAGAGGGCGAGAGGGAGGAGGAGGGATACTAGACCTTTCACCTGGCCTCCCATAACCTCATGGCAGCCTCCTTTATTTGCTAAACCCAGTTAAGAAAATTAGATGTTCCCCGACTAGTGGTTTCCAAAATGTATAAACCCTGCATCCTTATTTCCTAAGACACATGAACTCCAGCAGAAGTTGCTTAAAAGCAGAAAACCACAGCTTTGTGTACTTAGTAAAACCCGGCAGGGCTTCCTGGGATGTCTTCATTTCCTGAGCTGCTTCCGCAGCTCCTTAGGAACGGCCAGTGGCTGTTCATTTTCTCCTGCCAAACCCCAGCCCGCCGTGCTTCTTGGCTGTGTTTGCGACAGAGGGGCTGTGACCTTCAGCTTTGGTCAGGAGGGTGTGAACCTTCCACCAAATCTGCCATTTTGGGTCTCGGTGCAGATGCAGTCTCTTGAAACCGTATCTAGGAATGCCCTTTTACACGAGTGACAAAGCATTTAGCAGCTATGGTGTCCGGTCCTAAAGGAACTTAAGAGATAGATGACTACAAAACAGCACATCATCCATATTGGGATTATGAGGCGTGATCTGTGCTATGACTTTATACAGGCAGACTTCCAGTAATCACACTTGCTGGGGCAAACCTCCCTGAAGCTCCTTGTCAACAGCTGCGTGGAGAGATGGCTGGAGCAAGGGAATGGACCTGGGTTGAAGGGTTAGCCAGGAGGACATTTCCATGAAGGAAACATCCACACTCACTCTGTTCTGGGCACTGTGGGGTTAATGCCAGCTGCTTTTTCGCTAATTGGAAATTTGCCTAAAACAATGCTAAGAGAAAAACAGGTGAGGGACAGAGCTGCAGGCGTTGAGAAGGGAGAGAGCTCTCATTCATGGGGCATCTATGGTGTGCCAGGTTATTTATTTAATCACAACCACCTTCGGAGAAAGCTGATATTGTCATCTTTTACGGATGAGCAAACCTCCACTCAGATCAGCTCAATAACTTGCCAAAGTCCCACAGGGATTAAGTGGCAGAGTCAGGATTTGAACCCACCAGGGTCAGACTTCAAAGCCAGCCTGTATACCTTGCCTGGTCATCAGTTAGGGCTGCCTTCTGCCTTGACAGTTTATGTCCATCAGGAGGACTTAGCTTGTTTGGGGCTTTTTTTGAGCAACTTTATGGGCCTGACAGACCAAGCACTGCCACAGGTGTGAGCTGCGCTGGCTTTCGGTGGCCAGAATGAAACGCTGGTCCTTCCCTGGACTTGGGGAAAAAAGACCCCCTGCCTCTCAAGGTCTTGGCTGTTCCGAGTCAAAGACAAGCGTTGGGAGGCTCTGAGGGACTAGGGTTGCCAGGTAACATATGGGATATCCGGTTGAATTTGAATTTCAGATCAACAGGGAATAATTTTTTAGCATAACTATATTCCAGGCAATGTTTGGGTCATACTAGCAAATTATTCATTATCTGAAATTTAACATTAACTAAGTGTTCTGTATTTTTGTTGTTAAATCTGGCCTCCCTGTAGAGGGTAGCTGTTGACTGTGGGCTCACAGGCACTTCCGTGGGATGTTCTGAGATCTGGACCCTGAGGGAGCTGGGGACATGCAGCCTGTGGACCTGCACTCCCTTCCTACTCCCTTATTTTCCTACATCTTTGGGAATCGGCTGAATGCCTGCTTGTGCCCAGCCAGAGGGGGCAGTGGTACCAGGTTAAAAGAAACAGCTGCCCCAGGCCCTTTGCACAAAAGGTAATCCCTAACTGAGCCCCATTCCTGAGGCAAGTCTTGAACTGGAGGCATGACATTGTGACAAGCTTAGAAAGGACTAGACTTGGGTTCATGAGGTCTTGTGGGAAGAGTCCCTTGGGAAGTGTGTGGGGGGGGCAGGCGGTGTAGCATTTGTTAAGAACTCAGGAAGCTGACTTTCTATGGCAATGAGGACAGCGATGTATCAAGGGCTGATTACCTGGTAGGCACTGTGTCGAGCGTTCCACACACCGCTCCACCTCCCTGTACCACTAGATCCCCACAACAACCCTATGAAACAGGCAGATTGTCCCTACTTTACGGAAGAGCAAGCTGCGGTTCTGAGAAGTCGGGTAACTTGCGCAAGGTCACACAGCTTCTGCAGCATAGAGCCAGGATCAGATCGTCGGCTGCAGCGCTCATGCAGTTAACCACTGCCGGACTCCGCCTCCCCCTAGGGCAGCCCTGACTTGTGTCCGGAGCCCTAGCCACCCTCTGGGATCTCACTACCTCACAGGTCGTGGAGTGTTTGCACGGGACTGGTAGGACTATATTTCATATATTGATCTGGATGTTGATCTGAGAGGTTCGTCTACCACCTGTTTGGGAAGCCTCCCTCCCCCCCATCCCTCAGTGGGCCTCTACTGGTAAAGTAGTCTAAGTCCACAGGACCCCTTAGTTTCCCCTTAGCCTTCCCTTCTCGAGGTTAAAGCTCCTCATTTCCACCCGCTTTTTCCTTGCTCTTCCAAACCCTGACAGTGTAGCCCAGGGACAGAGCACAGGCCTTGGGGCCGGACAGACCTGCGTTCAAGGCTGGGCCTTGCTACTTATTAAGTATGTGACCTTGAGCAGGTTTCTTAACTTCTTGGTATCAGTCTCCTCACTGTAAAAGAGGACAAAAATACACCGTTATCTCCTAGGGTGATAAGAGGAGGAGCTAGTGGTCCAGGAGGTGGTGTAGCATCACACCTTGATTGGCATAAAAACTCAGACCAGACAGACCATCTGAGATTTGCACCTGGGCTCTCTTATTTGTAAGTTTTACAGTTTGCGCCAATTTATTTACCCTCTCACAGCCTCCGTAAAACGAGATTAATGCTCTGCCCCGTATGGTTGCAAGGGTGACAGGGGTCAAGTGTTCAAGGCAGTGTGAACACATGGCAGGCAGGGCCTCGTCAGTAGCAGCAGTGGCTGGTAACAGTTTTGGGTGCCTGCCCCACATAGGTATTTATGATTATAAAGTAGATACATACAGTGACTGTCCAGATCCCTGTGTCTCTGCAGTTGAGGCACCCCTAGGGGACATTCGGGTGACAGGTATTGCCCCCATTTCACAGAGAAGGAACCTAGGGCTCAGACACAGAGGGACATGGCTCCTATACCAGAACCCAGGTCCCCTATCTCTAATCCAGCATCCTACGACCCCATGTTGCCTTGGCCCTTTCCTTCCCCGGTCTTCTGACACATGGGACGCCATCTGGAAAAGAGCCCTGCAGCCCCCCTGGACCATGCACTATGTGAAGAGCTAGGAGTTCAGGTCTTTCTTTCCTCTGGCCCTGCCAGGAAAGGTTGGGCCGCCCAGGGGCATTCTCAGATCCTGGCCACTCCTTCCCCACCTTCTCTGCTGCAGCACCTGAGACTCCCTTGTCTCCCACTGGTTACTGGAAGCCTTCCCCAGAGCAGCAGACAGTTTTTTGTGCCAAGATGAGTCACTGTTTCCTCCTCCAGGACTCTGGGGAAGGGCAGGGCCTGTTTGGCCCAGTTTCTTTTTGGCGCTTTCTTGGACATTTTTAGGTGGGTGTGTCCTCCCATTACAAAGATGGGGAACCTGAGGCCAAGGAGGCCTAGTCTTCAGTGGGTTTCTTTTCCCAGTGACTTAAGAGAAGGGATCAGATAATGCTCAGTTTCTCATATATGAGGTCTGACAATTAAGTTTGCGAACTTGTTGCAATGCTGTTGCTAACCTTTTTTAATATCAGAGGGGTTATTTATTATGAATTTGTACCAACCGGACAGTTAACCAAGTTGACTATTTGGAAACGCTGAAAAGCTGCGTGAAAAAGTTAGACAACCTGAACTTGTCGCCAACAATTCATGGTTCTTGCATCACGACAATGCACCAGCTCACATGGCACTGTCTGTGAGGGAGTTTTTAGCCAGTAAACAAATAACTGTATTGGAACACCCTCCCTACTCACCTGATCTGGCCCCCAGTGACTTCTTTCTTTACCCAAAGATAAAGGAAATAGTGAAAGGAAGGCATTTTGATGATATTTAGGACATCAAGGATAATTTGATGACAGCTCTGATAGCCATTCCAGAAAAAGAGTTCCAAAATTGCTTTGGGGTGGACTAGGTGCTGGAGTCAGTGCATAACTTCCCAAGGGGAGGGCTTCAAAGGTGACGGTAGTGATATTCAGCAGTGAGGTATGGCACTTTTTCTAGGATGAGTTTGTGCACTTAATTGTCCGACCTCGTATTTATAATACAAAAGTGATGTCACACGGCAGGAACTGTATGTTTCTTGAATATCTGCAATATTTCCAGGTTATGCTCTTTTCTTCCCAAGAGAGGGCATGGTTTTAAACCTTGGCCAGGTGCTCACTCGCCTTTCTGCCTCTAGGAGAAGTGTTTATCTCACAGGTTAAGGGATTACCCCCACAGGCTTCCCTGCGGATCAGCTGCCCCTGTGGCTCAGCCTTTCATCTGACCCTAAAAAAGCCGGGCTCTGCAGGACCATTTATTTGTTCAAGACCTATTGTGTGCACAGTCTAGATGTAGGAACCAAAGCACTGGGAAATAAAGACCGGTTCTGAAAGAGAAGCTATCGGTGGGAAGGATCAGGTGTTGATTTTCGGGAGGAAGATGGTGATGTGAGCTGCCTCGCCTGTGCCTCCATCCTCCTTGTCCTCTCTTAGTCCGAAAGCTGGACACCAGGACCACTGTGGCTGGCCACTCGGCTTGGTCGTTGGCGGATCCCCTCCCCTCTGAGGGCAGGATTTCCTGTTAGAGGAGATGGTGGTTGGCTCTCAAGATAAAATCAGAATTCTTCCCCACACCCCTCAGGCCCAGCCCTGCCCTCCCCCACCCTCTTATCTTCTATTCCAGTCACTTTGGCTTCTTTTCAGTTCCCAGAATGTTCCATGCTCCCTTCTGCCACACAGCAGGTGATGTCCCTTCTGTTTGAAATGCTCTTCTTTTCACTCTGCCCCTTCTGCTCACCACTTTCATCTTGGCTTAAATATCACTCTCTCAGAGAACCTCCTAAGCAGCCCGCGCCCCCACTGCCCCTGATGTAGAAGGAGGTTCCTTTCCCTCTGCTGTAACTTTCCTTCAGAATGGGGTGTTCTCATTGGCTGCCTCGATCCTAAAGTGCTTATGGGACGAGCCGGTGTCTCCTGCTGGCGAGGAGAGGGCAGTGCCACATCTGTACTCACCAATGAATCCCCAGAGTGGCTGACAAGCTGGTGTCAGGGATGGTAAATGTTTAAGAAACTTAGGACCATCTGATCACTTCTGTTGAGCCTCTGGGGAAGTCTAAGCCTCCCCTGCCCCGTTTCCCCATCTGTGTAATGGGGGGAGCACACCCACCCCGGCCCAGACAGCCTAATGGTCACGGCTGAATCCTGGCTGTGCTGCTGACCAGCTGTGTGACCTTTTAGGCAAGTTACTCACCTCTGAGCCTCCGTTTCCTCAACTATAAAATGGTACCTCAGAGGATTGTAAGAATTAAATGAGTTCCTATACAGGAAGTACTTAGAATGGTGCCCCCCTCATAGGAAGAGCTCAAGAATACACAGAGGTAGACAATTGTGAAGATTCCTTCCAGAGCTGGGCTTCTGTGATGTACAGGATACCTTTTTCAGTCTTGGGATCTCCCCAAATTTGGGAAGTTCTCACCTCAGTCCTTACAGAATTCTTTTCCTAGTCTTCTGAGTTTTGGGGTGCTGTGGAGCCAGACCCCTTTTTGCACACTCGCGCTCGGCTCTAGCATGAAGGTGGGGTGTCCCAGCCTTTTCTCCAGACTCCCTCTCCCCATACATGTGGAAACTGCCCATGTCTGTCGCGGACCTCCAGGGGAAAGGTTAGGTGCACAGGTTCTGGAGATGACTTAAATTCTAGCTTTTCCACTTGCCATTGATGGACTCTTTATCACATTCACTGACTTCTGAGACCAGCTCTCACCTCTGAGGTGGGAATGATAACAGGGTCTGTCCCAGAGGCTGTTGTGAGGCCCAGGGAAGCTCGTTGAGGCATTTGGTGCAGGGCCTGGCACACAGTAGGTGTGCATTAAAAAGTAACTTCTAGAAATGCTTTTCCCTCCTCGGCCAGAGTTCTTTATTGCAGGTGGCAACCTCTCCTGCCCTTTCACCAGACCAGAAGCCTGGGTCTTTCACAGCAAGTCCGTGCTATGTCTGCCCTGTCTCCCTGGGCCTGGCCTACTGCCCCTGCCCCAGGCTCTTGGCATGCCCCCCGCCCCCCGGCTTAACTCCTCAGTTCCTTGAGTAAACTCCTCCAAGGGCCCCACTGATGCCCCTGACTTGGGGCTCCTGGCCTCCCATAGTCTCAGTGCCACCCCCACCCCTCAGCCATTGCCACATCCGCCTTCTCACGGCTCTGAGTCCTGCCTCCCTGCCTGTCTTCCATGCCCCCACCCTGAAACACCTCGCTCTGCCTCCCCATTTCCTGGCTGATCCTCACTCATCCTTCAGCCCCAGCTCCGAAGTCCCCTCCTTCTTTGGAATCTCTGGCTGACAGCTGCCCTGCCCTCCCCGTAGCATCTGTTCCTTCCTTCTTTATTTGCTTTCCAGTCAGGGCCCTTTTGATTGCCAGGAATAGAGACCAGTTCCAGTCAAGGGGGCCATTATTTTAAGGACATATGGGGCAATAAAAAGGGTAGCGTATTACAGAAATTAGAACAAAGCGAAAGGGATTTTTCTTTTCCTTGACATAAATCCAGCCAAGTGATTTCCTGCAGAAAAGCCTCCAGCGGCTTCCTTCAGTGCCCTGAGGATGAAATCCAGGCCCCTAACTGAGGCCCTGCCATCCCGGCTGCTCTCTCCCTGCGCAGCACCCCGCCTCCAGTGTCCCAAGAAATGAGCTTCTCTGAGTTCACCACCACCACTCCGGCCACTTCCCACTGAGGCCTCCTCTGATTTCAGAGCAGATTGCCAGGTTCCCCAAAGGAGCCTCCAGCCTTTGGAAGCAGGAAGGGGTGTGGGTGTCATCAGCCCCGAAGGGAATGGGGAGGGGCAACGTGGCAGCGTCCCCTGGCCTGGCCTGTGGTCTGCCTCCTCTTCTATCCCTGGTTCACTTGCCGTTGCTGATGTTTCTTTTAATCAGACATTGATGGAAGCCCTCTCAGGTGCCAAGCAGGGGCCTCCTGTGTTTTCTGGCTTCAAAACCTTCCCTACCTCCCACCCCCATGGTGCTCGCATTCACAGCTCTCATCGTCCATCCCCTCCCCCCCATTTTGTGCCATAGATGATCCTCCTGGTTCACTGGCTGCTGACGACCTGGTGAGTGACTCCACCGTGTCTCCTGGGACCTGGGTCCACGTGTCTCCTGGGGTCTTGTCCACCTGTCTCCCTGCCAGTTCCAAGACTGAGTAGCACCTTTGTCAAGAGCATCATTAGCAAGCCCCTCGCGCCCCAAGCTCTGGGCGGTTCCCAGAGGCCTTTGCCATCACTGCCTCCCAGGCACTTTGAGGCCTCATGGTAGGGGAGGCAGCCAGCCCAGGGCAGTCCTGACAGCTCAGCTTCTCCAGATACTGCGCAAGGCCCTCCGGGGCTTGGCGTGACTCTTCTTCCCTGCAAAAGGCCTCTGCATCTGGGGGGTCTGAGGTGCTGCAGCCAGGGGGCTGGTCTCATATGCCTGCTGCGTTCCCCGAGGCAGGCAGGGTGGACATCAGGGAGAGCTCTGCGTGTCTGTGATCTTAGGTGAGTCACTTAAACTCCCTGAGTCATTTTCTCATCTGTAAAATAAAAGCGTCCCTGCCCCTCCCACTTGCCTCTTAAGGTCATTGGAAGGTGAAGGCCCGACTTGAGAAATAACCGCTAAGGTGTATAGAGGGCAGCCAGGTGCCAGCTGCCAGGCTGAGCTGCTTTCCTTCTGTGGGTTAGCTCAGCAGCTCAGCAAGTAGACACACGATGAACCTGACACTGGAGTGAGGTCACTTGCTTAGGGTGGACCTTCTTATATCACACCCCATGCCCACAGACAGCAGACTCAGGATTCTGTGGACCCTGGTCGTGGCCTGGCTCTGCCATGTTCCAGCCAGGCCACCTGGGGCGAGCGACTCCACCTCTCGGGGCCTTGGTTTCCATCTGTAAAATGGGTACAAGGCTGGCACTCCTCAGGAGCCATGAGGGAGAGGCGTGGCCTGCTCATCAGACACTGCCTGCCTGGGGCCTGCCAGAAAGGGCGGCTCGAGGACTGCAGGACTGACTGACTCATCACCGGCTGGTTTATCTGTTGAGCTTCTGGGGAGATTTCTCTGACAACTTATGGGAGTGGAAACCATTGAGTTCATGTGTGCACTTTGCAGACTTTGAAGAGCAGGGCACATGTAAACGGTTGTGAATAATGTGAACAGGGATAGTCATGGTTAATGACCTTGGGGAGGAAAGTCAAATACAGATTTCCCAGTCACACTCCGCCAGCTTCTCAGCTGGTGAGTCTGGGCTGGGGCCCCAGCACTTGCTTTCATAAAACCCCACAGTGAGATTACTTGCAGACCATGGAGCCTAGTTACACTCTATCCTTAACCACTCTGCACGTGTTTTCTGGATGGTGTACATCATGAATGTCATTGGAGTTCATGAAGTGCCTCCCTGCATGCTGGGGAGAGCTAGGCCCAGTGAAAACAGTAAGAGCGAGCATGGCCTCTTGAGCCAGACTGCCTGGGTTCAAATCCTAGCTCTGCCATGTAGCGGCTGTGGGATCTTGGGCAAGTTACTTGACTTCCCTGCCTGTCCTGTAAAATGCAGATCATAATTGTGCCTCCTTCCTGGAATGATGAACACAAATGCACATAAATGAGTTCATTTAAAGCATTTAGAACTGTGCCAGACACTAGTGAGGCCTCTGTGTGAACGATTATTTTCATTGGGTTAACAAGTAAACATATCAGCTAGTACCCTAAAAAATAAAATAGGGTGGGCATTGTGTTAGAAAGTGACGAGGTGGTACTTAAAACTGGGTGGTCAGGAAGGGAGTTAAAATTTGAGCTGAGACTAAAATGACAAAGAGGGGCCAGATGTTCAGGGTAGAGGGAGCATCACGGGCAATGGCCTGGAGGTGAAGGAGGGCTGTGTCACGGGTGACTCCCTCGGGGCCCCTTAGACCATGGGGAATAGTGTATTGTATTCCAAGTGGGACAGAAAACTGTTGGAGGATTTTCAGGAGTGATATCGCCTGACATTACTGGCTGTTGTTTAGAGAATGGCCTGAAGGGGGCAGGAGCGGAGGTTAGGAGACCAGTAGGGGGCTGCGGTGGTGAATCCTGGCAGAAGAAGACAATTTGGACCTGGAGGGATCCGACTGGGAAGCAGAGCCAGTGGGATTTCCTGGCATTTCTGGTGCACCGTGGGGGAAGGAGGACAAGTACCCTGTGACCTGGAAGACTCTGGCCTCTTCTCAGAGGGGCCCCCGAGGGCCTGGAGCGCCAGGGAGGTGACCTGTGGGAGGGGGTGGGCACCTGTGGGGCGGTCACCTCCTGACTTGACTCAGGCGTGTCTTCCCACAGGGGCTGCCTCGTGTTCTTGGGCCCCTACGCCTGGGCCAACTTCACCGTCCTGGCCTTGGGGGTGTGGGCCGTGGCTCAGCGGGACTCCGTCGACGCCATAAGCATGGTGAGCTGGGAAGCAGCACGGGGAACTGGCTTCAGGATGACCCGTGGCCCCTGCTCTGTCTTCCCCTCACCGGCCCCCCGTCTTCTCTCTCTTCCTTGTGTCTCCCCATTTTCCACTTCCTAAAGCCTTGCAGATAAGCCCACCCAGGCTGCCAGCCCACGTGTGTTTTCACTAGCCTGGCCTGCTTCTCCGCTTGTCTGGCTCAGAGAGCCTGGAATCTGCTCACTGTCTTGCCCAAGAAAGGCATGGGGTGGGGTCCCACCAGTACCCCAGACTGGTCACTCCTCAAGGCAGTGGGGCATGTACCCAGTACCGCGCCCCCTCCCTCTTAGGAGGGAGGGATGTGGCTGGGAGACCCGCGAAGAGGGAACTCCACTACTCTATGAGGTCAGAGTGGACACAGCCCAGCTGAGCTCTCCCTGGGGGAGCTTCCCAACACCCACTTAGCCCCAAGGGGCGGTGAGCACTGCAGCACCAGCCTCTCAGCGTGACAGGCTGGGGGCCTCACAGGATGACAGCGAAGGGACTTTCTTGGTGGTGGAGACAGGTTGGGTGAACTCTGAGGGACTTTCCATCTCAGAGGTCCTGGAACCAAGTTGTGTGCCTCATCATGACCTCAAGAGTGACAGGAGATGCGTGGGGGGCTCTGGCGGAGTTGGCAGGCTGGGTATAGACCTGCGCCCCCAGTCCCTGCTCTGGCCCTACAGACATCAGGTGTCTCATCCACAGGGTCCTGCCTGATCTGTTTTCCAGCAAACCCTAAAGGCACAAGAGGTCACAAATGGGAGCTTCCAGTCTGGGGTATATGGTGGGGGAGTAATGGGGGAGTGACAGAGCATCGCTGTGCTCGTCAACACCGATGACATGGTCACGTCTGGGCCCTGCGCTGGCCTGTCTTGCAGTTTCTGGGCGGCTTGGTGGCCACCATCTTCCTGGACATCATCCACATTAGCATCTTCTACCCACGGTACGGCCTCACGGACACGGGGCGCTTTGGCGCCGGCATGGCCATCCTCAGCCTGCTCCTCAAGCCGTTTTCCTGCTGCCTCGTCTACCACATGTACCGGGAACGCGGGGGTGAATTCCTGCTCCACGCTGGTGAGGCCACCCTCTCCTGCCAGCTCCCGACTCCCCACACCTCCTCTGTCTCCGCCTTGCCCGACCCACAGCCCTTGCCCCAGTGAGCTGACCTTGCGCCAGGCGACAAGGGCTCAAGGTGCAGGGATGGGCTTGGCATGAGCGCTAAGCGCCAGGCTAGAAGGTGTGCCAGCTCCTGGTCTCTGCTGCAGGAGCTCCGTGGTCCCCCGGCTGTCCCAGCCTGGCGTGACCTTTCCCCGGCATCAGGCTACAGGCAGAGTTGGGGGCAGTGGCCAGTCCCCCTCTTCTGAGCTCGAGCACAGATGCAGCTGGTGATGTGATGCAGTTCCACGGGCAGCTGTGGGCAGTCTGCAGCCTGAGGCTGGAGGGCACCTGCAGGGCCACCTTCTCTCAGCTCCCACGGACCCCATGCCCAGAACCACTTCTGCCTCGTGGGGTCTGGGTGGCCAAGGGGGAGAGGGTTCCGGCATGGGGCAGGGAGCCTCAGCCAAGGACAGCGCTGAGCGGCAGGTGCTGACCGGCCCTCTCGCCTTAGCCCAGCCCCTCACTGCCCCACCACACGCCTTCTCTGAGCTGTACCCCTTCTCATAATGGTGGACCCATTTTCCTGCTCTCTCTCAGAGAGAGAAACGGGGGGAGGTGGATTTGGTCTTCTATCTGCTGAGAAGAGAGGCCCAGGGTGGCCTGTGACCGGCCTGAGGGAGCAAATCAGCCAAGGACAGGAGTGGAACCTCAGCACTGCCCAGGCCTGCCCCAGTGGTGGTGGTGGGGGGGCACGGGGGGTGCAGTGACATTCCTGCCTTTGGACAGATGGGGAACCTGAGGCCCAGAGCCCTTGGGACTTGTTCAGGATGCTAGCACAAAGGAGCAGAGTAGGGATGGGAGCGAGGAATGTGGGCACCCAGCCCTCCCACTGCCTTGCAGCCCTGGCCCCAGCTCTCTGACCTCTGCAACCGTGCCAGGCCCTGGGGCCTTCTGGCTGTAGTATCACGGTGTCCATTCTGCCTGGAGAGGAGCTCCAGGGCAGCCGTGGACCCAGGGCTGGACATTCCTCAGCCCAGATTCCTGAGCGTGCGCTGCTTGGGGAAGCGCCGGGGGTGGTGGCTAAGAGCTCTAGCTTTGGGGCCATGCTGCCTACGTTTGGATCCCAGCCCTCAGCTTCAAGCTGTGTAATCTCAGGCAAGTCAGTTCATCTCTTTGATCCTGAGTTTCCTCATCTATAAAGTGGGGCCGATAAAAATAGCTGCTCTGTAGGGTTACGGGAGGACTGAATGGACAATACATGTTTAAGGCCTGGTGCCTGGGGCTGCAGCCACCATCACTGTCCTGGGTGCCAGGACGCCCAGTGCTGGCCTTCCTGGTGGGGATGGAGCGGATCTTGGTTTGTACTTAGTGGGACGTCCTGTGTCCTCACCCATCATTTTTTCTTTCCCTCCAACTCCCCACGCCCTAGGTTTCCGTGGACCTTCACAGGAGCACAGTGCTTACCAGACGATTGACTCACCAGAGGTACCCTCAGACCCTTTGGCAGGCCCGGAGACCAAGGGTCACACTCCCCAAGGGTACTGAAGCCGGACGTACTGGGCCAGGCCCCAGCCCAGGGGCCAGGTTGACAAACCGCAGGGGAGGTCCAGGCTGCGTCACCTTCCTCATGCCCTGGACGCCGTCCCAGGGCTGCTCCTCACTCCCCTTTCTCGGACCTAACATGCAATGTGCCTTCCCGTTCCCCATCTCAGGGTTGCCTGAACGCCTCTGTGCACACACCTGTCCCCAGCTCCCTGAGGCCTCCCCTTCCTTCCAGGTATCCCACTGGTCCGAGGCTGCGAACCATGGTCTCTTTCCTCAGCTCTCCCCCTAGCTGCTCCGTGCAGGCCCCAGGTCAAGGCCTGCCTGAGCCTGGCAGGGTCCAACTCTTGGGGCTAGTGACGCCCCGGCCCCAGGGCTGCCCCCTCGGTTGTCAAGCCCTCCCACTGAAGCTCTGTGACCTGCCAGTTGTGCCCAGCCCCAGGAGCTCTGGGTTGAGGTCCTTTGGCTTCTCACTGCCTGGTCACGTGGTACCTGGGGACCCCAGGACTGGAGGCAGAGGTATCTGTAGCACCCGGCACCCACCATGGCATTAAAGTTTGGGGAATTCTGTAGCTCGGTGTGTGTTGAGCTATCATTCATCTCCCAGCTGGGCTGGGGCCTGGACCTGCCATTCCTGGGAAGGTTTCCTCTGTGAATCCCCAGGGTGCTGGGGCTTAGCTGCCTGGTCTGTTGTGGCAGGAGGAGAGACGGGCTCGTGACCAGTGGGGCCTCCCCTGCGCCCAGCTCTGGCCTAGCTGAGGCCCCAGTAGGAAGGGCATCTATTCCAGGATATCCGTTTCTCTGAATCGGGTGACTTGAGGACTGGTTTGGATCTTGCTCTGCCACTGACTGGCTGTATGTCCTTGGGCGACTTAGCCTCTCTGACCTCACTGTCGTCTTCTGGACAAGGTGTAATGCCTGCCAAAGGGGGATGACACAAATGAAATGTTAAGTGCCTGGGCCACGGAAGGGCTCCCAAGATGACAGCAAAATTGTTAGTGGGGTTGCTCCTTGAGTCTGTGATGATGTTGGGTCAGGAGGCAACAGGCGACCTTTTCCTGGCTGACCGTGTGTCTTGGCCCCAGAGCTGACTGGAAGTGACACCTGTCCAGAAGCCCCAAGGGTCCCATGGCCAGGGCCCCAGGTGTCTGGGCTCTCCTGGGCCATCCTGACTTGTCCCCAGGACTAGTACACAGCCCCCACCATTCCGTTTCCATCTATCAAAGAGGCTGAGTACCTGCCACCGCTGAGCTAGGGCCTGAACCACAAGGGTTACCTGCGGTGCCTGCTCTCGGAGAACAGACATTCAGAGTCCTCTGTCAGGAGGCAAGAACCCCAAAAGATGGAACACAGGCCTCTGGGGAGGAGCTCGTCCCTGGGGCCAAGGGATGCTGAGTGCTACCTCCTTGGCAAACGGGAAACGGCCTCCCTGTTGGAAGGGGACAGACAAGCCACGGTACATTCATTCTATGGAATCCTGTTCAGCAGTTCAGGTGAGTAAACCAGACCTAATTCTGTCGATGACGGTCCCCCAAATGTGAACAAAACAGATTGCAGAATGGCATATGCAACAGGATGGCATTTGTGTGAATTTAAAAACTTTACAGCAATATCATGCGTTATTCTTGGGTGTAGATACAGTAAAATATAAAAATGTGGACCAGAAGGACACATGTCAAGTTCATGATTGTGGTGGCCTTGGGTGGGGTAGGGGCGTGGCCTGAAGGAAATGGGAATAAAACCCAAGTTCCTGGCATGTGGGAGGCTTGTAGTCGGTGTGCTCCTGTGTTTGTGTCATGAACATGCCAGGTTTCCAAAGGGAATGAACAGGTGATGGGGGAGCCACTGGGGAACAGATAATAGAGCCTGTGCCAAGCAGAGGGGATAGTATAATCAGAGACCCCAATTCCTCACAGTCCCAGAGCCCCACGTCTGACCGGATCTTTGGGTAGAAACAGAGGGAGGCTCTTGTCTTAAGTGCGTCCCCAGAAACACTCTGAGATGAAGTGTGAGACTTCGTGCAAAGCAAGGGAGCTGAGCTTGCTTGGTCATTGGCCATGGGCTGCTCCAGGGATGGGGGAGAGGGAGGTGGACTTGACCATCCAGGCTACTCGGTCTCCCTGACCATTCAGGCAAAGTGGTCCCAGGAGCCTGGGCACCGTCCTGCAAGGAGAGGGTCTCAGAAGCACACAGAATCGATGAGGACCACCAGTATAGCTGCCCCCCTTCCACACAGCAGGTCTCACAAGGGAGAGCTAACATTTATTCCACAAGCATTCGAAGACCTATGGGAACGAGGCAGTGTTCTGGATACTGGGGATACCAGAGTGGTACTTGGGAGACTCCATCTCGCATGAGAGGGAACAGCTCGTAGGAAGGCTTCCGTGGGTGCGTGCCTGCCTGGCCTGTTTGGGGACACCACCAGGAGGCCAGTGTGACTGGAGCCGAGGGGAGAGGGAGGGGGTGAGGTCAGGAAGGCAGCAGGGGCTAGATGGTACAGGGTGAGTGGGTGATTTTGAAGACTGGCTTTTTTTTTTTTTTTAAGATTTTTATTGGGGAATTGGGAGGATGGGAACAGTGCTGGGGAATTGGGGGAAGGGGAACAGACAAGCTGCTGTCCTTTTGTTCTTCAGTCTAGTTGTGGAGGACGTTGCTTCACTGGCCCAAGTTGGCACCATCATTGCGCTCTTCCCGGGCGAGGCATTTCAGTCGCCGGCTTCTGGACGGCCGCTCACTGCGGCTGCTGGCTGCTCACGCTGGCTGCTGGCTGCTGGCTACATACAGTAGCCCATGGCAACCCACTGCCACAGGGGCTGCAGCCTATGCCGTCGCAGTGACACAAGGCAACCCAGCTCCAGGTAGAGCTGCTGTTCAGCATCTTAGCTGTGGAGGGCAGCATCACTGGCCCTCATATATGGGATCTGAACCGGGGCCCTCTGGCGTCCCAAGCCAGTTCCCAACCATCGCGCCACTCCGCTGGCCCTGAAGACTGGCTTTTACTGAGTGAGATGGGACATGGTCTGATTTACATTCTAAAAGGGCAGTGTCGGTGGCTTGGACTAGGAGGTAGAGGTGGGGGTGGTGACAAGAGGTCATGTGGAACAGGACACTATGCACCAATTGTCAGTCCCAAGGGAGGACTCAACCCTTCTGCCCATTGTATCTTGGTAGTGGAAGCGCCAAGGAGAAAACACTGCAGTCAGGCACTGGGTGGACAACGCTTTTCTCACACCGAGAAGAGACAGCAAGATCAGCTGCAGTAGTGGAAGTCCATCCACCAGGGCCATTGGGTCTCCCCTGCCAGCTGCTACTCACCCTCTCATGCCAAGGGTGGAGGACCCTGTCCCCTTCCCGAGGAAGACAGATACAGCAGTGGGGCTGGCCAGTCGCCATATGACACACGCTTAAGCGGAACAAAAGAGCGTACATTGAGCCTCAAATGGAAAGACATGCCCACACAAGATGACAAGCTGGGCACAGGCTGTCTGGGCTCTTATCTCTTGGTGAGGAAGTGTCCCAGGCCCATGGCCCATTGTTATGCAGCTGAGTGGGGTTGGAAGCCAGCCTGCAGGAGTCTGCCTTTCCCAACAGGGCAGCTCCTAGGTACTTTTTGAAGGCAGAGCCGCAGGATTCACTGATGGACTGGATGGAGGAGGAGGAGAAGAGTCCATGATTGCAAGATTTTGGGCCTGAGCAGCTGGAGGCTGGAGCTGCCACTAGCCAGGAGGGAGGACAGAAGGAAGGCCAGGTTCAGAGCACTGGTCACTCAGTCTTGGATGGGCCACACTTGAGATAATGGGGCTTCCAACCAGACCTCAGCGCTGTGTTCTTTTAAAAATGCCAGCTTCTATAAGTACTTGGAAATAGTCTATATTTTAGTCTATGAGAGTCTGACATTCTAGAAACTGTCAACCACAGGAAGCAAATTCCTCTCGTCTCTGGACTCCGGCCGGAGAGGGCTGAAGTCACTTGTGTAGTTTACAAATCTTGTATTTCTTGTTTTCACAAAGCCGATCCTTCCAGATGAGGAAGCCAGAGGAATTGCCTAGGGCGGTCACTGTCTTCTGTTGGCCAAAACCAGACTGGAGCCCATGGTACCTACAGAGTCCCCACCTCAGGCCAGTCCTCAGAGTCTTCAAAACAGTCTGCAAATTCCAACTCTCACAACCTCCCTCCAAACCAGCTCTAGACAAGGCTAGCCTTGGCTGAAATCCAAGCTGCCCTGGTGACTAACTGTGTAAGAGATTAGACTCTCTTAACCTCACTGTGCCTGTTTCCTTATCTGAAAAATGGGGAATAATAATAGTGCCTGACTTAGGAATTAGTGAGGATTGAAAATTAGTAACATGTTTAATAAATGTTAGACCTCATTACCTGTATTCAGAGAGAGGGAGGGTGTGGCCAGTGTAGGGGAGGAGAAAACTTTCCTCCATCTTCTTAGGGTTCTTGGCTGGGTCTGAAAAGAGAGGAATCCATGATCGCAAAGATTGGACTCTGCAGAGATTAATCAGGAGAAAAGATCAACAGGAGAAAAGCCTACAAGTTTTATTGAATTTTTATGTGTACATGGAAGCCTTCACAAGAGAATGAAGACTCAAAGAAGTGACCAGAACAGGAAGTTTTTACACTGTTTAGACAAATTTGTGAAGAATTGACAACACAAAGGGGTTTGAGCTAGAAACAAATGGTGAAGAAGTAACTAGGATAAGGTTGAGTTTAACAAGGCTTGTTTGTACAATTTCTCGGCCATACATTCCCTATCTCTGATGATAAAATGTCTTCTGTCCTCCTGCAAGGAGGGGACCTTTCACATGGGAGATGACCTGAGAAGAAGGTGAGGTGGCGGGAAGGTCAGAGTGACCTTCCTGCTTCTGCCCTTTTCTCAAACAGTTTAAGACATTCAATATGCCATGATGCCATATTTTGGGGGTAGCATGTCCTGAACCCCATCACCAGTCTATCTATCTGACCATCCATTCATTTTTTATTCTATAACAGTGCTTTCTACAAGTTTTCAAAAGATCGAAAAAATTGTCAGGAAGTAAAACACAGATCTTCATCACCGGCAACAGTAAAACTCTGCGGGTCCAGTTCTCCAGGTGGCTGGGGGCTTGTGTGCACACCTGTCAGTCCAGTGACCATCAACAGAGTCAACAGGTTGCTATAAAACATTCTTGGGCTGGCTGAGTGGCATGTTGGTTAAGAGCTGGCTTGGGACGCCAGAGGGCCCTGGTTCAGATCCCACATATGAGGGCCAGTAACACTGGCCTCTACAGCTAAGATGCTGAACAACAGCTCAACTTGGAGTTGGGCTGCCATGAGTCGCCGGTGATAGGCTGCAGCGGGTTGCCATGGGCTACCGTGTGTGGCCGGCAGCCAGCATGAGCGGCTGTCCAGAAGCTGGTGACTGATCTGCCTCGCCCGGGAAGAGCGCAATGATGGTGCCAACTTGGGCCAGTGAAGCAACATCCTCCACAACTAGACTGAAGAACAAAAAGGACAGCAACTTGTCTGTTCCCCTTCCCCCAATTCCCCAGCACTGTTCCCATCCCCTAATTCCTCAATAAAAATA